GGAAAATGCCAATTACTATCAAATCTATCCGCGTTCGTTTAAAGATAGCGATGGTGATGGTATCGGTGATTTAAATGGTAAATAATTTTAAGGAACAATACCCAAAAGAATTGTGAAAAACACATAAAGAAAAAAAAAAAAACACAAAAAGTTGCTGTACCTCCGGGATCTTGATGGCGAGAGCACTTCCAACTGACCAATTTGCAACAACGCTGAGATACCCGTCGTCTACGTAAGGAATCACCCGGCAGCCACCATCCTCAAGTCTTTTAAGTACGTCGTTAATGAATAGGACCTATAGAAGGGGAGAAAGAACTCCTCCTTGTAAGGTTCCCCTACTCACATTTCGTCGAGAGCTTACGTTGCCTCATTCCATTTCAATCAACCTCAAGATCGTCCAGAGCTTTTCCGACTGCTTCCGGCAGGACGTTATTGAAAGCTCCCTCAATATTAAGAAATATCCCAACAACGAATTCCATAATCCTAATGACACAATGTATGCAGGGGAGTATCCACCACAACCGACAATAACCATGTTGCTCTCTTGATAATTCCTCAGAATGCGCCTCCTTATGTACCAAACTATCAGTCTCTCCAAAGTTTTATTGAGGGGAGCTTGATAAGCCGAAAATCCTTGGCCGAAACGTGGGAGCCCCTACCAGCCTTCGGGATGAACATAACTCTAACCCATCTACAGGCTCCGTGTGTTAACCCAGTTTTATGCAGTTCGCACAGACATTTACCATCAGTTGCATTAAACCTTAATAGTCTACTGCAGCTGTGCTAGTATGATGCCATCCGGTCCCGGGAACTAGAAAGATTTGAATTAATTCAATTCCCAGGCCAAGTGGGGGCATACAGAAGGCTGCGTAATTATCTTCCAGCAGTCCGAGAAATATTCCACCAAGGAGTTTCCGAAGTGTGTCTTCACTATTTAGGCTTCTTTGGGACAATACACATGAACCTAGAAGACTGATGGCAGCTCTCCATTCGCAGAACCTTTTTCATGAAGTCCTCTTTGCCTATCTTGTATATTGTAAGTCCCGTTTTATGCAACACACACTCAGCTGACGCACTCCTATGGGCCTCGTTGAATAAACGTCTGCATTACGCTCCGAGAGTTCTATAGTTAAAGAGTGAGGCTTCTCTCTGCCATTAGGTGTTTTCAGTAGACAGGAGCTCTCCAGTGCAGTTTTGCACACCGAACTGAAGGCTTCGAAAAATCCGTGACCGTGTTGGTGGCTAATCCGGCGTGCGAGGGAAAGTTTTTCGGAGCCTCTTGCAATAAATTCCCCAGTTTGTATTCCTAGGATTTCTGAAAGATTTGCTTGGTGGATATTCTTCGACTAGACTGAATCCGATATATCTATGATCAGAGAAGGAGCGATCATCATAGACCATCTAGTTTAAATCACTGGAGCGATTCCGTTCGAGAAGAACAGAAGTCAAGATCCTCCTTCCTGTCCTGAATACAGTTATTTCCTTTCTTTCCATTATACCTTTGGTCACGGTGTATGACTATTCGTCATCAATCTACAGATGAAGTTACTAGCCCGCCATGGTTCCTGGATCAGGACTCTATCGGCTTCGACTTTTTGCGACGAATCAGTAAATTGGCGGAGGTCATCTTTCAGACCCGCTGTTTGAAGCAGATGACTCAGCGTCCTCGGGTTGTTCTATATGATCGTTTGAACATCTGCATTTGTCGTGTTCACCGCATCTGAAGGCTGAACACCATCAGTTTTGACTTCCGTCGGGAGTATCGTGAAGACCACGCTTTAGAATCCATAGCTTATGGAATTCTTGGATTTGCTGATTTCCACATTTAGAAGAATCAGATAACCCTCCACCCGAAAGACTGCCTCCTTACATAGAACAGCTGATCGATAGCCCATGCTGTCACCCGACACTCTCACACATTGGAGGTGGCCTAGGTTTTTCTGTGACCAACTTTAGAAATACTGAGGAAATAACCGTCGCCACTCTCTTCTATTTCTCGCGGGAGATGGCATTGCTTGCTTACCGTAGCGTTCTTCAAATTTGCCCACCAAGAGGCGGTCTGCCTTCAGGTTCCTAGCTAGCGCTGAATTGCCCCTGTAGAGCTTCTTTTGCTAGTGCTGGCGATGCAGCAGCGTTTGAAGGCTCTACCCACATCGCTTGCCCGCCGGTTTCCATCGGCTTATAGCTCGTAGCATGGCGTGATGTAAAAATTCCTGCTTGGGTATTGGTCTTGTCACAGAATTTCACGAGCGACAATTTCCTCGCCCTGGGAGCAGTATTATGTACAATCCGGGACAGATGTGAGTACCCTACTCATAATCCAATTTAAAGCTAAAGTCGTTCAGGAGTTTAAAGGTCGTAAAGGCAACAGAGCATTTAACTTTAACCAACTTGGAGGCGACCGGCACTACATTTCTAACTCAGCCTATGAGGACCAAGGCTTTTTTTTTGGAATTTCACGAATGTTTGATTGGTTTAGATATCTGGCTGGAAAGCTACGGATATTGCATAGATGTTTTTTTTGAATAAAAACCAACGATAGTTGGTTGAGTATATTTTTGAACTGAAGTTCTTCATATTTTATACTAAATACAAAACTTAATAACTAGGTTTTCAGAGACTTTCGCAGAGTTTTTTGAAGTTTAGTCCAAATATCTAATGAAATTTGATCCGGCATAAGGGGAAATTTTTTTAAAAATCTCGCCATCATAAAGAACCAGTTCTTACCGCAGATCCTGGATTGAAGGCATGAAATAAAATAAAAAAATTAAGCTCTTCTTAAGTTCTTTATATATGATATGAGGAAATTTTATATAAAACTCAAAAATAAAGAGTCATAAGGAAATTAATTTTTATAATTTCTCCTTTCCACAAATTCCAGGCGTAACACAAAAGTTGCAGTATCTTAAAGATATTGGCTTCACCGCCGCTTGGCTTTCACCGATTTTTAAATCGCCCATGGTTGACTTTGGTTACGACATCTCCGATTTCTATGCCATACACCCCGAATATGGCACAATGGCGGATTTCAAAGCGCTTGTCGCACGCGCCAAACAAGTTGGCATTCGTATAATACTCGACTTTGTGCCGAATCACACAAGTGACGAGTGCGAATGGTTCGTGAAGTCGGTGAATCGTGAACCGGGCTACGAAGACTTCTACGTCTGGTCYAATGGCACTGTGGATGCAAACGGTAAACGGCAGCCGCCGAGTAATTGGATCAGCGCATTCCGTTATAGCGCCTGGCAGTGGAACGACAAGCGTCAACAATATTATTTGCATCAGTTCTCCATCAAACAGGCAGACTTGAATTTCCGTAATCCAYTCGTGGTGGCCAAAATGAAAGAGGTGATGCGCTATTGGTTGGATACTGGGATTTCGGGATTTCGCATTGATGCAATCCCATTCATGTTTGAAAAGGAACCATATGCAAATGGTAGCTACCCCGATGAGCCTGTTATTGATAATGTAAGCGTCTGTCCAGATCCCGACGACGAGTGTCACTTGAAACACATCTACACACAAGATCAACCGGAATCTATAGAGATGGTATATCAATGGCGCGAACTCGTTGAGCAATATCGTAAGGAGAAAGGCGGCGAATCGATTGTACTCTTAACTGAGGCCTATACAAGTCTGGATAATTTAATGCTGTATTATGGTGATGGTCAGCGAAATGGTTCGATGGTGCCTTTCAATTTCTACCTTATGCGAAATTTGAAGAATGATTCCACGGCGCCACAAGTTGTGGATTACATTCAACAATGGATGACACGCATGCCATTGGGCGTACAGGCCAATTGGGTATTGGGTAATCACGATAATCCAAGGTATTCTACGCGTTTGGGTGTACAACGTGCGGACTTGTTCACGATCATGCTGCAGACCTTGCCGGGAAATGCGGTGACCTACAATGTATGTATTGTTTATAGTTAGTAATTTTTGCACATGCACTTCAAGCATGCTTAGACAAAGTATTTATTAATGTTTTAGGGCGAGGAGTTGGCCATGACAGATGGTAAGGTCACCTGGGCGCAAACTGTTGACCCGCAAGGCTGCAATGCAAACCCCAGTAACTATGAGAGCTATTCGCGCGATCCCTGTCGTACACCCTATCAATGGGATGGGACGAAGAATGCAGGTGGGTAAGCGCAGAAATTTCAATGTTTATGGTATTTAAAATATCAACAGTTTAATTTATGATTTTTCGAAAGATTCGAACTCATTTATTATACTCTCTGTCTCTCTCTCTCTCTCTCTCTCGTTTGTAGGCTTTTCGTCCGCCGCGCGCACTTGGCTGCCAGTCGCCAGTAATTATCGCACAAATAATGCCTTGGCTCAATTGCGTGCACCCAAAAGTCATTTACAGTTATTTATGAAATTAATTCGCCTACGCCAAATGCGCTCGCTACAAGATGGCGCATTAAAGATAAAAGCAATCGGCAACGACATTATCGTCTACTCACGGTGAGTGCAAAGTCGGCATCGCTAGTAACTAGGCATTAGTTGTTTAGCACAMTCAAATGCACTCAAGTGGTGCCACTCATACGCACTCATTGCATAATGCACTTCATGTTGGTGCCACTGAAGGAGCACTGATTKCTGCCTAGCCTCTAAGTTCGATTGCGATTTGTTGCTCATTTTTGCTTCGGTATTAATTCTCGTTTTTTTTTCGCTTTTCTCTACAGTGAGGCATCGGGTGACGATATGTTTGTGATTGTGCTCAATCTGGGCGGCAACAAGCAGACTTTGAATATCAATCAGTACTTCGATATGGGTGCCCAGGCGGAGGTGATTACTTCATCAATGCAGTCGGGATATCATGACGGGTGAGTGCGGGGGAAAGTGACTCAGTTTTATGAGTCTGCTTTWGTGGGATTAGTAGCTGTGTTGTTTAGAAAATAGGATAAAGCTACTYTTAAGTGTATGAGCAACCCCTTTTATCTCATAATATGTATATTTTCAGTGTTATCATTGACCCAAGCAAGTATGTGGCTGAGCCGTATGTTGGTGTGGTTTTGGTGAAGTTATGAAATAGCCTTCGCTTGGGTTGGATTTTACCAAATATTATGGTCAACAATTAYAACTTTYCYAGTTTTATACAATTTTTGTGAAAGCAATAATGTGCAAATAAAGCAATAACTAATTAAGTGTTTCAATATATAATATAAATACAACTCACTCCACCAGATTCCTATGAAATTTGTGATATCCTTGTTTTTGTTCATTAGTTCTGAGAGATTAGATCGGATAGAGTATGCAGGACTCGCCCGAAAACAATGCGGTTTCACTTAAGATACCACAAAATYTCAGATTTGTATGTCAARCCTGACACWGATTKTGTWRTGGARAAATTATYCAACAAAGAACTTGCATTAAATTTTGTGTGCGGAATTAAATTTCTTGTGCCGAAACGTGCATAATATTTAGAAAAGCCTTCGGAGATAATAGTTCGTGGTGAGCAAGTGTATTTGTTTGGTAAAAATTATTTAAAGAGGATCAAAAACGCGTTGACAACGAACCACGCTAARGACGGCCATTAACATCAACTGATGACCAACACGTTAATAATGTAAAGGAATTGATGCTTKAGACTGACGTCATTGAAATATAGGAAGGACCAGTGAAAAACTCTTTGATCCTAAGAAAAGTGAAAACACGACTGGTTACGAAAAATCAAAATTTGTTGGAAAAACAGCGTCGTGGTAGCGTCTGTGAAAAATCTTTTTATAGAAAATTCGCATTCTGTGACATAAGAATATATAGTAAGTAGAAATTTTGAAATCAGTCACTCGGGCTCTGAGATATGGGATTTCACCAAAAAGTGGGCGGTGCCACTTCCATCATTCAAGTTTAACACCAACTTGCATAAAGCTTTCTCATACCATGTCAGATTTAAAATTTAATATCTTTGACGCAATTATTTAGGTGTTCGGTTCATGACTATTTTTGGGCATACTAAGGAACCCACATACCAAGTTTCATCGAGATATCTCAATTTCTCCTGAAGTTACTGCTTGGACAGATTGAAGCTTGAAACCGGTTTTGAAATTTTCTCCTTAACCTAATCTCATATTATATATATGTAACCCTATATCTATCTCGCTTAGTTATAGGTTATACGTATAACCGTTAGGTGAACAAAACAATAATAGTCTGTAGCAACTGGTTGCAAAATCGTAAAACCCATAGCCGAAGAGTGTTTTTTGGAAGAATTATAAACATTCCTTATTAAATTTGAAGTTCCTGTGTTTTTTCTTTAAAGAAGTAAGAAATCTTGAAATGGAGCACCCTTTAATTACGGAATCATTTATGGAACATGGGGATGAGATATTCGGAAGACTACAGAATACAATAACGCTGCTAGACAGAGTCAACGTTCAAATCATACGTTAAGTCACACTAAGACAATATACACATCCCTATCTGCAAACAAATTTCTTGCTTTATTTGAAAATCACGGCACTTGGGAAATCGAATTCTTTTGTGAGAAGAATGAATGTAAGCCTTCACTGTAACTGTTACGACATTTGAAGGAGGCAGATGAAAAATATTTTTAACATGCGTTTATCGTCAAAATTCAACTGGTAATTTAACCAAGTTAAAATATTTCTAAGAAAAGTCTTTAATATTATTATTACATATTAGCTCTTTTGGTTGTACTCTTAAATTTCTTAAAAATACATAAGCAAAATTGTACGTAGTTTGACTTATCTACGACTTAGTCTCATTGCAATACTTGAACTTGTTTGTTTTAGACTAATTTTTATCACCTCTAGAAATGATAGTGCACACATACGTTCAAACACACTTACAGTTAAAAAGAGCAACAGCATCAGATTGACGTCGACTTATAAGTCAAGGTTCATCCATAAACCACACACTTGACCTAAACTTTGCAACATAGCGGCACATATGTGCGTCTGTATGTGTATACTTAAATCTAAGTATGAAATTAAATTGTGCAAAAAACCGAAATAAATGAAGTAGGCCAAGTCAACAAGCCTGCGGGCTAGACATGAAAGCTAATATTTCAAGCGGTGGCTCACAGCCAAATGCCAACGTGGTGGTGCATTTCACATGGACATGTTTAGATAAAAGCACATGAGTGTTGTTATATGTATATTTTAATTTTTTATGTGTGTGTTATGTGTAGTTATTAGTTAGTATTTAAATTGATTTGCATTTGGTTAAGCATACGTGGTTATATGTGGCGTGTAAGGTAGGGTGGTTCTTAAGAAAAACGATTTGATTTTTTTAAAATATTTTCTTTCTCTGTTACTTACATACAACAGACATTGCTAGGAGCAAAAAAAAATTATATAATTTTTCAAAGACTAACTTAATGCTTCGCTATTGATTGTACTCAAATAAATTGTCTTTTTCGCAAAACAGTAAAAACGGGCACGGCAATTTGAATTTGTTGAATAGAGAACACAGTGGAAAGTACACTAAAAGCCCAGTAAATTATACTGCACAGTTGGCAAAGCTCCAATTATCTGTTTTTAAGTTTAAGATTTAGGTTTTAAGAAAGCAGCCTCACTTTGGAAAAGTATNAATCATTTATGGAACATGGGGATGAGATATTCGGAAGACTACAGAATACAATAACGCTGCTAGACAGAGTCAACGTTCAAATCATACGTTAAGTCACACTAAGACAATATACACATCCCTATCTGCAAACAAATTTCTTGCTTTATTTGAAAATCACGGCACTTGGGAAATCGAATTCTTTTGTGAGAAGAATGAATGTAAGCCTTCACTGTAACTGTTACGACATTTGAAGGAGGCAGATGAAAAATATTTTTAACATGCGTTTATCGTCAAAATTCAACTGGTAATTTAACCAAGTTAAAATATTTCTAAGAAAAGTCTTTAATATTATTATTACATATTAGCTCTTTTGGTTGTACTCTTAAATTTCTTAAAAATACATAAGCAAAATTGTACGTAGTTTGACTTATCTACGACTTAGTCTCATTGCAATACTTGAACTTGTTTGTTTTAGACTAATTTTTATCACCTCTAGAAATGATAGTGCACACATACGTTCAAACACACTTACAGTTAAAAAGAGCAACAGCATCAGATTGACGTCGACTTATAAGTCAAGGTTCATCCATAAACCACACACTTGACCTAAACTTTGCAACATAGCGGCACATATGTGCGTCTGTATGTGTATACTTAAATCTAAGTATGAAATTAAATTGTGCAAAAAACCGAAATAAATGAAGTAGGCCAAGTCAACAAGCCTGCGGGCTAGACATGAAAGCTAATATTTCAAGCGGTGGCTCACAGCCAAATGCCAACGTGGTGGTGCATTTCACATGGACATGTTTAGATAAAAGCACATGAGTGTTGTTATATGTATATTTTAATTTTTTATGTGTGTGTTATGTGTAGTTATTAGTTAGTATTTAAATTGATTTGCATTTGGTTAAGCATACGTGGTTATATGTGGCGTGTAAGGTAGGGTGGTTCTTAAGAAAAACGATTTGATTTTTTTAAAATATTTTCTTTCTCTGTTACTTACATACAACAGACATTGCTAGGAGCAAAAAAAAATTATATAATTTTTCAAAGACTAACTTAATGCTTCGCTATTGATTGTACTCAAATAAATTGTCTTTTTCGCAAAACAGTAAAAACGGGCACGGCAATTTGAATTTGTTGAATAGAGAACACAGTGGAAAGTACACTAAAAGCCCAGTAAATTATACTGCACAGTTGGCAAAGCTCCAATTATCTGTTTTTAAGTTTAAGATTTAGGTTTTAAGAAAGCAGCCTCACTTTGGAAAAGTATCTTTACGAAATTTTCTGTGCATTATTAGTCAAAGCAGCAGTATGATCTCCACGGAAATTGTTTAGATCGGGTTACTATAGCATATATAATTGATCTCTCAAAATGAACTCTTTGCATTGATAAATTATCTTAATGAATTTAAACACTGATTATTGTCCAAGGCAAAGCTACAAAAGTCGATCAGGAGTAGGATAGGACAACCTTAAAGTAAGGTGAATTGCTTACAAAAATATTCACGCACATGCAAGTCGCCACGCGTTGCCATTGCCAAGCTTGTTCAGCAGGCAATTTTCGACTTTCTTAAACTCATRTGTACACACAAACAAGCTTATACGGTATATATAATATATATACATATATGTATGTGTTTCAAATATACATGTATGTACTTGTTTGTTTGCACCGGAAAAATCTCTCTTTGCACTCACTGTTTATGGCTCAGGAGACTTCCTTTTCGCCGCTTTAAGTTTTCATAAGTTCRCATTTTGCATTCAATCTGACCTCGTCTAAAATACTGCACCCCCACCACATGCCAGCAGCAAATCAGGTTCACTCACTCGCACTTATATATGTGGGATGTGTTTGTTTGTTTGTAAATCTGCCGTCGCTTTTGGCGTATATTTACTTTCAATTCAAAGGCYGTCTGATGTTTATTATTATTACAAGTTAAACGAAATGTTTTTGGAGAAAATATGCGTGTGTTTATATTAGTATTTACACGCACACGCAAACACGTGCACAAATCCATACACACATGCAAACATTCACACATGATTGTATGCTTATGTCGAAAGTGTTTGAGTTGCAGGATTTCATATATAATCATATATATGTATATGAATACAGGCAAATATATATATATATACATATATGTAAACGCATTAATACAATTGCACTTGCATGCGTGTGTGGCATTAGCACTTTTGTTTTGTTTTTTTTGCCACATTTCTTATTTGCATATTCATTTTTTGCCTGCCCTTTGGGTATTGCGCCTTTTGTTATGCTCATGCTATTAATATTGTAGCATATTTTTTGGCGYTCTAACTGTTTGTTTCCTTTTCTGTTAGTGTGTGTGTTTTGCTTTGTTCTGTTGTTTTTATACCTTAATATTTTTACATAATTCTGAGTTAAGTTCTTAGGACACGCTCCAATTTTGCACATATTTTTAAGCACTTCATTGCTTTTTGCTCGGGGCGTCGAAATTAAATGGTTTGGTGTCGTAAACTCRATTGGTTTTAAGAATTRCCATTTRTGGTTATGTAGGCATTGCGCTTATGCGCTTACGAGAAATTATATTTGCAGATATATATGCTTGTGGTTTTAAACCAGAAACTGAAAATT